AATAACTGTCCGGATTGTTTGCAAGTGATCGATAGTGCTAAAACCCTTACGAAAGCTTGCTTGCTCCACTGGTTGGTATGCATCTAGCTTAGCTGTCAGTCTATTTGTTATTATTCGAGTTAGTAGTTTGTAATGGTGTGACTGTGACAATAAGCTTATTGGTCGGTAGTTTTCTATATTTGCGGCGTCCCCTTTTTTATGGAGTAGAATGACTTCCGCATTTTTCAATGTTTTTGGTATTTGTCCTTCCAATAGGCATTTATTCAGTAATGCTCTCATTGCCTCTTCTTATGCAGTGCCTCCCATTTTTAGTATCTCTGAAGTAATTTTATCTTCTCCTGGTGTTCTCCCATTTTTCATTTGTTTTAGGGCGGCTTTAATTTCCGATGTTATTAATTTAAGGGAGATCCTCTGAGCTCACACTTAAGATATGTTTTGTTGGTATACCGGGGTTCGGAATAGTAGATACAGCTTCTCATAAAATTTTCGGATTTCTCTAACGATCTCTTTCTTATGCGAGCACAATGTTCCACGGTCATCTTTTATCTTTATGATTTTATTCCTGCCAGTGGATTTACATGGTTTTAGTACTTTCATGTTCTTATTGTTCTCTATGGTTTCAAGAATCTGATTTGTTCTATAAGCTGTGAGGTATTTTCGAATATTTTTCTTAACGCTTCTATTGAGCGCTTTATAGTCCTGGTTATCTCTGTTCGCCTTCTTCTTTTCTCTATTTGTTCTAGAGTCTCGGGTTTTAGTTTAGCTTCTTTTTGTTTTCTTATTCTGCAACAAAGTTTCTTATTGACTGTTTGTATGTATTTAGATATTTTCTCAGCTAGTTCATGTATATGCTTGTGCTCAAAGGTATTTGCTACTAATTTTCTGGCTAATTCCTCTTGGTATTTATCTTTATTACTGGCTAGGATGTCTGCCGTCGGTAAAAGGTTTGTTGTTAGTAGTTTTCGTCTTTCTCTCTTTATGTTAATACGTATATCAGCACGAACTAGTCTATGGTCACTGCCGGTGTTAAATTTGTTCAGTACCTCGATGTTTTTACATATTGATCTATCTCTGGAAAGGATAAAATCTATTTCATTCTTAACCTGGCCGTCAGGGCTACGCTATGTCCACTTTCTTTGGATTTGTTTTTTATAGAACGTGTTCAGGCAAAACATTTTTTCGGTACTTACGTAATTTGCTAATGTCTCTCCTCTGGTGTTTCTGTTGCCTAGATCGAAATTTCTTTGTAGTCTGAGTCTTCTGGTATTTGCCGCCCTACTTTTGCATTAAAATCTTCGGTGATGATAACATAGTGTATTTTTTCTATGTCATTAGCTCGCGTTATATCTTCGTAGAGTTGTTCTATTTACTCGTCATCCGCAGTGGTGGCAGTATATTATCTGTAAGCTATATCGTTTATTCAGTTTTAATACAAGATATATCACTCCTTCCGCCACTGCTGTCGGAATTCACAATCTGGTGTGCTATTCTTCGGTTGACCATGAAAGCCACTCCTCCTTGGCCGTGGTTCTCTTCTGAATTATATTGTTATAAAGTGTGTCCAAATTTTAGGGTGGTCTTTTCTCTCCTTGAAGTCTTGTTTCACATAAGCCTACAATATCCCATTTAATAGCCCCTAGTTCCTGCTCTAATTCCTCTAGGTGGTCGTTCGTTCTTATGGTTCTAATGTTGTATGTAGCAATTTTAAATTTTTGAGAACTAATTTGTTTATTATTGTCATGTATTTTCGATCTGCCTCCCCTGGAATCCGTGAGGCAGTCCATATTGGAGTGAGATTCTGACTTATAAACTCATTCCACCTGGGGGAAAATGGCAAGTAAAACGCCACGCTTGCCGAGCGGGTTGGCGAGTTTAGATTTCAGCCGCCCCTTACCTGGAGTCAGATGCTGTTTGCAGCCGTCCATTCTGGATCAGACGCTGCTTAATTCTATACCAGCCCTAAAATCACGGGTTTGCCTCTTCCGCAATCCACGCGGCAGGGAACGATACCTTTTCTCTGATAGGACTGTCCGAAGAGTTTCTACCCGCTACTCCGCTAATCCCGATATTCCCGCTAATTATTATTAATATAGCTGATATTTTATAAGTCGAAAAATAAATCGGAAAACGAAGACGAATGACGAATATTTAAAACTAAGAGTTTAATAAAATATGTCGAAACAAAAAATTATCCTGAAAACTAATCAGGCAAGAGAGGGTATAACAACTTAAGCAGAATCGAAATAATGAAGATTACAGTCAAAAATTTATTGGGAGACGAAGCTACAAAACTCATACTACATAAAAACGGGATGTGTGGCACTCCGAGAAGGGGAATTATAGCTTCTTTTTCATCATCTACGCTGGAGCGATTGTTTTTAATGTACCTAATTTAATTTAGATTAATTTATTTTTATTTTATTTTATTTTAATTTATTTCATGTTATTAAGATGCACTGCATTCATTGCATTCCATTCGTAATCCGCGCTAAGAAAGCTTTGCTTCCAAAAAGAAATCTCTAACCACCAGCGCGCTCTAAAGCACCAAGAAAAGATGAACTTACTATAGATAGCACTTATAAAATACGGTGGAAAGTTGTTGTTGGATAAAATTACGTAAGGAAAAACAATGCCCGAAGATTACAACAGACCTCTGATAACAATGAAAATACTAATAGAAAAATTAAATACTAGTACAATATACCATTATACCTTTATTAACTTTATTGAATATACCATTATACCTCTATTGACTTTGAAAAAGCGTTGAACAACAATTCACTAATATCATGAAGAATAGACCAATGATACACAGATTTATTAATTAATGTCTATGGAAAAGCAACAAATAGAATCAGAATATATGAAGGTACAAAACCAATAAAATTCAAACGAGGAATGAAGCAAGGTATACAATATCCATAAAATTATTCTTTCAAAGCATTAAAAGATGTATTTGTTCAAATACATCAACTCGAACATATTCAAATATTTAAAAATATCGTTTAATTTAGAAATAAAAAACTCCACTTTTGACCATAATTCGCCAATTCTGTAAATATATAAGAAAAATATCGTGGCTTCGTAATCTACGTGAATGGTTCGGGTGTAGTTCGATTGAACTTTTTAGGCGCGCTGCTAACAAAGTCGCAGTGGCCATGATGATTTCCAATCTCCGCTAGGAGTGGCACGAGAAGAAGAAGTAAATATATAAAATGACAACAGTGTTTCGTGTGAATAAGACATATTTATTTTTGAAAAAAAAAACTCACCAGACATCAGACAGCCGCTACAATCTTAGAGCAAATTAAGATGAGGACGAAGCCATATCTCTGTTTGCTGAAGCCTTCAAAAATCGTCCTGCTGGCTCGAAGGACCACTTATGTAGTTTCTTTTTTATATCTACAGTACTTAAAAAAGTAAACTGAGAAAACAAAGGTATAAACATAAGTTGACAACGTTTGAATCACTTGCGATATACAGATGATATCTTGTACTTATTGCAAAAAAAATGCCAAAGATCTTGAAGAGATGACAACGAACGTGATGAAGCAAGGAAAACTAAAATGAAAATGAACTATAACAAAAACCGCACAAGACAAAAAAATATAAAAACGGAAAAGAAACAATAGGTCAAGTGGAATAATACATATTTCTAAGGCAACTTAGAAACGCGCTGTAATAAAACGCTGAATAAGGCTAACATGCTCAGATTAAAAGCTGATTTACATATGGAAAAACGAAAAATAGATACCCTTAATATCTCAGGACCAAAATATTTGACCAATGTATTTTACCAATTAAAAGCTCAACAGAGAAAATGCAGACCAGGGGTTAAAATTGACAGTGGATCATGGGAAACATTTCATACAATTAAATAGACGCAAAGAAGGCCCGGAAGAGGAAGAGTGTACAACAGAAGAGGTGAGAGATAATGAAATAAAAATACTAACATTTAAGTATTTACACATTCAAAAAATTAAACAGAAAAAAGACCTAGCCCTGATGAAATTCTCAACGAGCTGATTAAAGTAACTTACTAAATAGAATATGGTAAGCAGAAGAAATGTCCGAGGATTGGAAAGAAGGCAGAATTATACCAATATTTAAACAACTATAGAAGAATATCTCTACTGAGTACAACATACAAAATTTACGTTTAGTTACATACCAATAGTTACATACGTAGCTGAGACAAAGTGCTTCACAGATAAAGATGACGAAAGATTAAGAATATTTTAAAGGAAAATCCTTACAAGAATTATGGCCCGGATAAGAATGGAAAACGGGGAAATCAGAAGAATAAACCATGAAATAAGAGTCATTATGAAAAGAGAAGCTAGTTAGATTTATTAAAGCGCAGAGACTGAGATGGCTGAGACACATAAAGAGAAGGAAAATGACCGACTGATTAAGATCTGCTGATTAAGATTAAGATGGAAGCCAGAATCCAGAGACCAAGGGGTAGACCTAAAGAGAGATGGGAGGACTAGGTCATGAGAGATATCAAAATTCTGAAAGTAGGAAACTGAAGGAACCTATGCACAGATCGAAATAAGTGGAGGAAAATTGTAATGAAAGCCAATGCATACAAAAAACTTTGACAATACCCAAGAATAATGCGGTGTTAAGAGTGATGTAAATGCGGCAAGCATTCCATTAGGAATGAAAGGCCTTGATGGTGATGATTCTAGCAGTGCTAACATGCTGAACACGACGCTGACGAAAGAGAACGTACTAAACTAGCCAAAAGACAAAGCGCCCTGGAAAAGCAGATGGTCCATATAAAACTAAAAGCAAGAAGAGCAAGACTAGCGCAACTAAAAATATGAATCTACCTGCCCGAGCATTTTTTCGAATATGCCCCCATTTATTTATACATAATCGAATTTTGATACACACTATATTACGAGCAAACGTATCAGTCTCTGGTAATCTCTCTCAATAGTATATTTTCTCGAAATACCTAAATTACTATTCACGTATTGTTCATTTTTTAGATTACAACGAAAAATTAGAATTTTTCAATTCGCTGGAAGTTAAAGACGAAGAGCGAATACAATCTTATCACGTAATTAGAACAGAGTTAGATCTGTTGGGTGTCAAGTTTAGGACGTATCTCACAAGTTCGCAATATTTGTTGCCGTTTCTTCAACCTGGTAGACTTTTAAAGGTAAGTGAAACATAACAGAACATTTTTGCATGTTTCCCCCAGCCCTCACGCCCTGGCGAGGGCTCAAGGAATGAGGAGGATGTATTAAACAGTCATACACTTAATAAGTAAATAACGTTAACTTTTAGATAAAATCAACTGAAGACGAATACGATTGGGGCGCCGTCGTTAACTTTAAAAAAGTCCAAGAGATTATTCCAGGACGCAAAAATAAGCAAGGACAAAGCAAAACCCAGACTAAAGTCAAAGTGGATATTTTGTTACATGTATTACCAGAAAATAGCGATGAAACAATGATACCGAAACCTTGTTTAGAAGACCAGGTAAGTTTATAAAAGCTCGTAACAGAGAATGAATACGTTTTTTTAATATTAGAGTTAGATTAATAATATATATTATTAATATTTTCTAATTTTCCAACTTGTGGAAAATTTTTCCGCAAATCGAAGTTTTCCATGCTAGAAAACATAAAAACACAATATTTTATATAATTAATTGTAACGTTATAAGCATCATATTTTGGCCTAGTTTCCGAATCTATTATTTTTTTCATAACTCTCTTTCATTCGCTTCGGTTCTTCTCGTGGGTTTCAATTTTCGTTCTAGCTTCCTCTGCGTGAGACATATAGATCAGCACTAGTAAGTGAATCACTCCCTCCAAATTATTCCCTCGCCATGATTTGTAACTGAGCTTATAATAATCAAAATAATCAATGCATGCCTCTTGCTAAGCTATTTTCCAACTCTTTTTAAAATAACCAGCTCCGTCATGATTCTCAAACCCGGAAAACTTTGTATCAGAACAGAGTCGTAATGACCTATCTCTTCTTTAAACACCCCAATGAAAGCGCCGAATTCATTTTGAACTTAGCCGCGTAACTGTACATCGTTATACTACCGAACTACAGAAATCTACTATAGCCTATTCCCAGTTTCTCAGAAAATACATGAAGCCAGCCGGATTAACTTGCTCGAAGGGCCTGACGGCCTGAGGACCGTATTTTGCTTATGTCTGGTACAAATCAAGAATATAATTACTCTCCTGATATAATTCCTACTGAATTATATGAACAACTTTTTTATTCGAAAGAGCTTTTTTGTAAATCGAAGTATTAGCGAAATATTTTACTTTATATATGTATCGTACATCACCTTGATATAGACATTTGACATTTTCAGAAAGGTGAAATCGAGGTAGTAACTGTAGATTCGACGTTGATAACTCATTTATCGTCTGTGCGACTGTTCTGTCCCAACGATCTAAGGTCGAAAGATAGTCGAAAAGGAATGTACAAAGCTATTAAGGAAGTAAAGAAACGGTTTCCCGAAGGACCGCCACTACTCAATCCCGTGACGGATATGAAGATTAAAGAGCCCGAATTTTTATCTATCGTAGAGAAAATCGAGATTTTAGAACAGAAGTAAGTACGATTTAACGACTTTTAGCTAGTTCTTACAACCAATTTCCAACTGTACCGCTCACCAATTGGAGCGTGGCCGGTGAGAGAAATCTTATCTGAGTGTATAAGTATCGTAGTGTGCGCGTAACTCGAAGGGGTTAATATAGGTAACGTTGCGATCGGTGAGTTGCACATGAACGTCGAGTAAAACAGAGTAGTACTAAGGATCATTTATGCTGTTTATACTATTACAAATTATCTAGAAGTGCAAACAGAAGTTACAGTTGTGTTTTTGAATTTCTGGGTTAAAAAAACAGTAGGCGCAGGTACTAGGATTGCAGAAAATTCTTTGACAATTATATTTATTGTTTTAATAATAGGAGATTGTCAATAGAAAGCAATATAAAATATTCGTTAAGTCTTTAAATACACTGAATACTAAGATAATTAGTAACATAGCGTTTAACACAAATTGTTCATATATTTTTATCTGACTTTAATAATTTGATCGCCCAATCATTCCTTTTTGGATATTATAGTTCATCGTCGGCACATTTTAAATTGTTGACATTATATAGATCGAAAACACTATAAACGAGTTAATAACAATATTTTTGTATTGTTAGGACTACTTTGTTTAAATTTTTTTGTGTTTTATCGATGTATTTCTACTTCCTTTTAGAATGTATAGTCACCCCTTGCACAAAACAGACATTTTATCTACCGAATACCCCAAGTTTGAAAAGAAAATTATCGCTCAAACGGATTTGGAACTGGCGAGATCGAAACTAATGGAAGCCAAGTCCGTATTGCAATTGGACGAGTTGAAATCTAGAAAAAGGGTGTTGAGAAGGTTGGAGTATTGTTCCAGTACTGATGTTATTCAGTTAAAGGGCAGAGTAGCTTGTGAATTAAGCAGGTATGTATGTATTTTATTCTAGAAATGTGTTGACGTTTCTAAATAAATTTTGTCACCAGAAAAAATTCTATTAGAACAGCAGTTTTGGAGAGAATGAAGAGTCCTTTCAATCATGCCACTTTTATTAATATTCTCACAAATGCTTTGCTGTAAACATCGTATATTTCATACTTCTAAGCCAAGTTAACTTTGAAAATGATCTTCCAGTTCAACTTCAATTTAAACAAAAAAATAAGTTATTATAAAATGTATTTTAATTTAAATAAAGTTTTTGAAATTGTTAAATTGTAAAAGTATTATACAAGAAACAAAAATAGGCGCAGTTAGTAGGATTGTAGAAGAGTCGTAGACGATTCTCGTTATTTTTGAACTTTTCAAAAAAAAATAATCGAAAACTTTAGGATAGATTGTAGCGTTTTTTATTTAAAGTGTATAGAAAAGATTTCTGTGTTACGCTCCTGTTGTTTTTACCAAAGAAAACAATCGAAATAATATTTCAAGTTTTTTTGACGAGATTTTTAAATGCGTATTAACGCTGGAAATATGTTTTTATCTCTGTGTTGCAATGTTAGGTAAAATAACAAGTTTTTTGTCGCCAAAGAGGTATTATGTTAAAACGCAATAAACCATGAATTCCCCTAATATTAAAGTTGTTTTTCGTTATTAGTCGAGGGTCAATAAAAAGAATATTTGTTTGTTTAGGCAATAAAGGAATATTTAAAAGGTTTTTTTGTCGATACGAGCGAGGGGATATTGTTTTGGTTCTTGAGTTTGTGGGGACAGGTTAGCTGCAAGACGGAAGGGAAATTTTTAGCAGTTTTCTTGTAAAATGTAACGAAGCAAGAGGAGTCGAGATTTAGATTCCAAGCGGGGCAGACATGTGATAAGGAGTCGAGATTTAGATTCCAAGCGGGGCAGACATGTGATAAGGAGTTGACATTTTTTGTCAAAGTCGACAAATTTTGTTAAATAGTGGAACAATTACTCTCTGTAATATGACAGATTTAGAAAAGGGTAGCCACTAAATATTTAAAGGATTTGTGCAGATACCAGAATATGGAAAATATTTAAAGTATGATATAGGATGTCCCCGTAGTCGGCTTATTTCTTCCACTAAGTTCCTGTTCCAATCGTTTTGTCCTGGAGTGTAGAACTAAATCCTGATGGTTGCTGCCTTCCAGTTTTGAAAGTTTTGTCCGAGTAGCTTCCCCAGAGATGTAAAGTTTCAAAGTGTTTGTATAAAAAAAAAACATTAAGGTAACAATTGTAAGAAAACAAGGTGTTTTCATTAAGAAGGATCCTTAATTTTTGATAATCTAATTGGCCATAATATAGTAAACAAAGAACATGTAAGTTTTTGTTATTTGTATTATGTTATATGATATGTTTCTTTTATAATATGTATTTTTGATCTGTTTTGTTTGAGACAAGAATAAATGATTAATTTGTTTCTCTGATCTATTTTGAGTTTTATTTGAAAAAGATATTTTTTTTCTATATTTTTGATGTTATACAATTATTTCCCTAGTTACAACTAGTGGTTGTAATAGGTATAATTGGGCACCTCAAGTGGCGCCCTATATTAAATTTCTTGAGGTGTTTCCGTTTATTTTCATTCTGTTTGTCCCAAGAGATTTGTATAAGTACCCCTTTATTCCTTTTTTTTTGTAGTTACCCCAATCTAACCCCCAATATCTTCAACTTATCCACGACCCAGCTCTCCAACAACCAACTGAGTGTCCGTATGCACTTGTTTCGATTATTTTGTTTGCCCAATCTTGTCCCCCATATTCTTACCCTGTGGTAAGCAAAATAGTCGTTACAATTTTAGCGCCCAACGTGTGTGGCTTGTCTTAGATTTGCGCCAATTGTACCTGTTGTTACAATTTTGGCGCCCCCAACGTGTGGCATTCTTTTAGTTTTGCTCCAAATTGTACTGTCGTTACAAATTTGGCTCCCAACGTGCGAGGCTTTTGAATATTCCTTAATTTTTAGATTTTTGACCCTTTTCCTGAAGCCACATATCTTTTTCAGTTTCCCCAGTTCCCTGCCATTTATATGAAACTTTTTTCCTTTTGAATAGTGCCCCAAAGTGTCTCACAAACAGTAAAGTATTTATATTACAATGTATGTATTATGTATTATGTACCAACATTTATATTTGTGTATATTAACATATGTATTGTTCTTCATATGTATTGATAAATGAAAGCAAATATTTGAGTTAAATGTTTAAATATAAGTTTTAATTGAAGTATTGATATTGAAAAGAATTTAAAAACAGTAGCAAATTATACAGTTACTGTTACATTTATTTTTTTATTGATTTGACAAATCTTACACAATAATCGGTTTTTGTAATTTTTTATTTGTTCCGTCAATTTTGAGTAAATGTGTGTATTCGTTTGAGTGACTTTTGAGCTATGTACTTGAAAAGTAGTATTATGCAATTTATCTTCTAATTAACCGTCTCTGAAGGTGTATTTAAATGCCAAGGGTTAATTAATGTTGTTGTACGAGGGGTAGTCATTGTGAGTCCTAGAGAAGATTCGACAAGTTTAGTCTCAGTAGTAGACTGTGTGTTTATTGTGTATCCTTTCTTGTATCTGAATGACCACAGGTGTAATATTTGTGATCAGGAGATGCTGTTTTAGTTTTGACTAGGAGCAGTCTCATTTAGTTGTCGGAACAAGAGTTGGTTTATTTTGGTGTTATTTAGTGTAGCTCACTCAAAGGTCAAGTTTTCAATGTTATTAGTATTTTGTCTTTCCTTGTATGTACGGTTTATGTTGTTTGTTAGTGTCCATGTTGTCCCATGTTGTTTGAAACCATTTTTTTTAGTCCTTGTTAGTGGAAGTGTGAATTTTTAGGAGACAGGTTATAGACCTCATTTTTATTTACCAACTGATTACTAAGTCAAGAGCAGAAGTTGCAGCAAACTGATTGAGTTTTGGATTTCAGTACGCGGGAGTGCAAGTGAGACTTACTATCAGGTGATAAATGGAAACGGTTGTTTCTTAAATTTATCATATTTTCTACTAGTTGTTGAGGTTGATTTCAGTTATTTTGTGTGTTTACTTTCATCCAATTTTTGAAAAATGAAGTCTACCCAGGTTAATCATTTGAAATCAGGAGAGTTATCCTATGAGCTTTTTATAAGAGGTAAAAATGTCCCAAATAAGACAGTTGATGATAAGAGAAAGATGTTAAGAGCTTTGTTGGCCATGGAGGCCACTTCGTCTTCAAGTTTAGTCGATTTGGTTAGTAATGTAGTAGATCCTGAAAAAGAGTTGTGTGAGATTAAGTTGATTATGGAAGATTTATGTATTAGTGCTCAATCAATAAATGTAGAATCAAATAAAGCTGATTTTGCTAGATTTGAGACAAGGTCTTCACATTTAGATACCAGATTAGAGAATTTCCCTATGAATGATGTTGAGGAAGATGTTAAAAAGTTTGTCAATGAGTGTAAGGATGATTTGTTGTTGTTACAGGGTGATGTGTTAGAAAAACTAGAAATATCTGATGATTTAGTAAAACCATCCACTAGTAGCCCAGTTTCAGTCCCTGTAGTTCCCAGTTGTACAGTCCCAGCCCCAATAATACAGGTTTCAACTCCTGTCATTATTTCTGATCTACATATTAAGTTTAATGGTGACAGTAAAGCCCTTCCCACATTTTTAGAAAAAATTAGAGATTCTGCTAGGTCTCGGAATATTTCCGAAGACATCCTATTTCGGTCAGCCATTGAGTTATTTGAAGGTAATGCTGCTATTTGGTATAGGAGTGTTAGAGATAAAATTAATAGTTGGGATGAGTTGGTAGCCCTACTTAAATCTGCTTTTTTGCATCCAGATTATAATGATAATCTCTTTGATGAAATTAAAAATAGAAAGCAAAAAAGGAATGAATTCATAACCATTTATTCAGCAGTGATGGAAAACCTTTTTAAACGTTTGGAAACATATCCTAGTGAAGCCCAAAAAGTAAAAATAATGAGGAAAAATATTTTAGTGGACTACATTCCACTGATAGCCCTTCAAGATTTTGCTACAGTAGAAATGTTAGTAGCAACTATAAAACGTTTAGAGCAGAATGTCCTGCCCTTGTTGCAGACTACTAAAGGTCTTGCAGGTATTTCGATTGATGATTCAGAAAATCCCAAAGAACAAGTTCATGTGGTGAATAATCAAACCAAGCAAGATAGAAGTGGAGTAGGTGACAGACAGGACAGAGAAAAATCTTGTAGGAGACCCAATCCCAAATTTAAGCATGAGAATAATAGACCCAGTCCACTAGAGAATACTGAAATAAGAAATCAGTCTTTTTCGTCCCCACCTCCAATGATGCAATCTTTTTCGTCCCCACCTCCATTAATGCAGTCAGTACCTTATCAAGCCCCTAGAAATCTGAAAAAGATTATTTGTTTCAATTTTAATAGACCAGGTCATATTTCCCGTGACTGTAGAAGTAAGTCAGTATCTTGTTATCGTTGTGGTCATAAAGGTGTGACCACATCTTCTTGTCCTAAGTGTTTTATTTCGAATAGGTCTAAGTCCAATAGACCTTACAGGTCATCAGTGAACCCAATTTTTGAAAAGAAACATTTTGATAGTCGTCCCCATGTTAATTGTTTAGAAGTTAATGTAGATAGAATAGACCCTTGGTTCGATAATTTGAGATCAAAGATAATCCGATCCCCCCTTGATTTTTCACAGTGGAAGGTGGAGAATGATTTTGTTTATAAGTTTGCCCCTACCAGAAATTCTTTTAAGACTAATGATGTAGAGTGGAAAATTCTTGTGCCCAAACCACAAAGGTTTGAAGTTATGAAGTCTTGTCATGAGCCACCTACGTGTGCTCACTTTGGATTTTCCAAAACTTTGTCCCGTATTCAGGAAAGATATTATTGGCCCCAGATGCGTGTTGATGTGCTTAAGTTTGTCAGGTCATGTAAAGTTTGTGGTGCTCAGAAGACACCAAATTATGCTCCATTAAGTAAAATGGGTAAGCAGAGAGAGGCCAAGTTTCCTTGGCAAATAGTTGCAATAGATCTGATAGGTCCCTTTGTTCGTTCAAAGAAAGGTTATACGTGGTTATTAGTAGTTGCTGATTGGTTTAGTAAATATACTTTAGTCCAACCTTTGAGAAAGGCCACGGCTAAGAATATTGTTGAGTTTTTGGAAAATGATGTTTTCCTAATGTTTGGTGTTCCTCAATATGTGATTTGTGATAATGCCTCAAATCTGAACAATCCTCTCTTAATTGAGCTCTGTAATAGGTATAACGTTCAGAAAGTATGGTTTAGCCCAGTATATGCACCTCAGTGTAATTTTGTGGAGAGGAACAATAGAACCATTGGTACAGCAATACGTACGTATGTTAAAGACCACGTAGATTGGGAGAAGAATTTAGCAAAGATCAGACAAGCTATTAACACTGCAAAGCATGAAGTGACTGGATATACTCCAGCTTTCCTGAATTATGGCCGTCATGTTCCTTTAAGTGGAAACTATTATGGTGTTGATCATAAGGATCAACAGAATCAAGATATCGAGATAATTCCAGGTGACCGTAACATGTATGCTTCAGAAGTCAAAGGTATAGATAAAGTTTTTGAAAAGGTTAAGGCTAATCTTCGAAAAGGATATGAACGTAACGCTAGAAGTTACAACTTACGTAGAAGAGAAGTCCAATTTCAAGTGGGTGATAGAGTTTGGAAAAGAAATAAGGTTTTGTCTTGTGCTGTCAACAAGTTTATGTCCAAACTAGCACCGAAGTATATTGAAGCAACTATCAAGGAAAAATTGTCACCACTGGTTTATCGTTTGTCAGATTTAAATGGTTCAGATCTTGGTAAGTGGCACATTAAAGATTTAAAGCCTTTTATGTCAGATGAGGACAATATGTCATCTTTAAGTAATTAGTTCATCCAATCCCATGTCAATGTTTTCGAGTTTGTATGTTGATTTGATTTCATCCCTTTGGAATATTGTTTCGCTTTTGATAATTTTAGTTCAGGTAATCTATTTTGATTGAGAGACACATGTGAGAATCACATTTTGTCATATGTAGGTATTTAGATTTAGGGTCTATATCCTAATTTTTTTGTGGAACCGTTGCCGAATTCCCTGTCTCGCTAGGCGTATAATGGAGATAGTAGACGCCTACCTGTTAAGTGTAGAGCAATTTTTTTTGGATTTGTGCATAGCACTTGGTTTAGGCAACGAGGTGTCATGGCTATGCCTGCCCGACAAATCACTTGTGTTACTGCTGTGAATGTCAGCGAGGTTCACTGCAGGGCATAAGGTTAGCTTTCCCCAAGGCATAGAAACTCATGTCACCTACAGTTCAAGCAGAATCACAAATTTCAGTCTACTCGACTTTAAAGAGTCTGGCGATCGATGGCACACTAGCCCATTCTTTGTAACTAACTTTGTTTTTGTTGTTTAATCCCATGCTAGCCATCATCTAAAAGATATTATTAAGAAGTTTCGACTCGGTTAAGAGGTCATCTTCTGATTTGGTTTTTGTTGTTTTGCCTTTATCAAAAACTGGATAAGAATTATCCGAGTTTTTTCTTTTAAGAAGGGGCATTGTAGCGTTTTTTATTTAAAGTGTATAGAAAAGATTTCTGTGTTACGCTCCTGTTGTTTTTACCAAAGAAAACAATCGAAATAATATTTCAAGTTTTTTTGACGAGATTTTTAAATGCGTATTAACGCTGGAAATATGTTTTTATCTCTGTGTTGCAATGTTAGGTAAAATAACAAGTTTTTTGTCGCCAAAGAGGTATTATGTTAAAACGCAATAAACCATGAATTCCCCTAATATTAAAGTTGTTTTTCGTTATTAGTCGAGGGTCAATAAAAAGAATATTTGTTTGTTTAGGCAATAAAGGAATATTTAAAAGGTTTTTTTGTCGATACGAGCGAGGGGATATTGTTTTGGTTCTTGAGTTTGTGGGGACAGGTTAGCTGCAAGACGGAAGGGAAATTTTTAGCAGTTTTCTTGTAAAATGTAACGAAGCAAGAGGAGTCGAGATTTAGATTCCAAGCGGGGCAGACATGTGATAAGGAGTCGAGATTTAGATTCCAAGCGGGGCAGACATGTGATAAGGAGTTGACATTTAAGTTCCAAGCGGGGCAGACATGTGATAAGGAGTCGAGATTTAAGTTCCAAGCGGGGCAGACATGTGACAATAGGGTCGACTGAGAGATTTCAAACAGGACAAACGTATTAGTTATGTAGTTTGCAAAAGTCGACAAATTTTGTTAAATAGTGGAACAATTACTCTCTGTAATATGACAGATTTAGAAAAGGGTAGCCACTAAATATTTAAAGGATTTGTGCAGATACCAGAATATGGAAAATATTTAAAGTATGATATAGGATGTCCCCGTAGTCGGCTTATTTCTTCCACTAAGTTCCTGTTCCAATCGTTTTGTCCTGGAGTGTAGAACTAAATCCTGATGGTTGCTGCCTTCCAGTTTTGAAAGTTTTGTCCGAGTAGCTTCCCCAGAGATGTAAAGTTTCAAAGTGTTTGTATAAAAAAAAAACATTAAGGTAACAATTCAATATATTAATCTTTCAAAGTAAAGACAGATATTTTTTGGCTAAAGTAATAATTGCTTTCATTCTTTGTCATCAAAATTAAATGTGATACCTGACAGCAAGCTTAATTTGTTTTTTTTTTGTTATGACAATTTTAATTTGATTATTATGTAGAAACGATATTTCATATATAAGGTTAAATTTATATGTTTTCATTAAGAAGGATCCTTAATTTTTGATAATCTAATTGGCCATAATATAGTAAACAAAGAACATGTAAGTTTTTGTTATTTGTATTATGTTATATGATATGTTTCTTTTATAATATGTATTTTTGATCTGTTTTGTTTGAGACAAGAATAAATGATTAATTTGTTTCTCTGATCTATTTTGAGTTTTATTTGAAAAAGATATTTTTTTTCTATATTTTTGATGTTATACAATTATTTCCCTAGTTACAACTAGTGGTTGTAATAGGTATAATTGGGCACCTCAAGTGGCGCCCTATATTAAATTTCTTGAGGTGTTTCCGTTTATTTTCATTCTGTTTGTCCCAAGAGATTTGTATAAGTACCCCTTTATTCCTTTTTTTTTGTAGTTACCCCAATCTAACCCCCAATATCTTCAACTTATCCACGACCCAGCTCTCCAACAACCAACTGAGTGTCCGTATGCACTTGTTTCGATTATTTTGTTTGCCCAATCTTGTCCCCCATATTCTTACCCTGTGGTAAGCAAAATAGTCGTTACAAGATGATAACTCTAAAGATCAGAATTATATTAATCTGATTAATATTATTTCGTATAATTTTTAATGATCGTGGTGTAATTGGAAGAATTGGAGGCACTTTAAGTCATCGTTCTGTAACCCCCAGTTCGGTATCTTCATTTGTGATATCTATAGCTGAACCATCCTATACAAAATATGAACCTTTCTTTGTGTGTCTATGCACACAAAATATGTCTGTGTGTACAGTACTTCTTGTTTCACTCTAAAATCTACCATTATCCCTACAGAATCAGTACTTTTACTCAGTTATATTTAAAAAAAGTCTTAGCAGTAATTTAATAAAACTGTCGTTGAAAAATTGCGCCAATATTAAATTATTTCTATATTTTAGTGCCGACGAATTATTGATTACTGAACTCATATTTAATGGTGTTTTTAATCCTCTAACTCCGGCACAAAGTTGCTCGTTGCTGAGCTGTTTTGTGTGCGACGAAAAAAGTCAAGAAACTCCAAAACTGTCGGAAGAACTGTCAGGACCTTTGAGGGTTATGCAAGTAAGTGTTTAGTATGTTGGAATTTATTTTACTTAGTGTAATAATCTTGAGGTAATTAAAGGTTTATAGAATTTTTAAAACTTGAAAATAACGTAAAAGCAACAAATTGACACAGCAGTAGTAGAATTGCAGAACATTATTTGACAATTATAGTGTTCTAATCGTCAAACCTACTAAACTTATGACGCACATATATGTTAGTGTTATTTTACTGTCTTGAAAATTGTTTGTTATTGTCATTTGTCACTAAATCTGTTTCAAGATACATAAAACATTTAGGAGAGGATATTTTTAAATAAATGAAATTGTGCATTTGTGAACTTGTGCATGCTCAGCTGATTTGGCACTTATTATTCTAAGGAACATTTCATAATTAATTGATCCTAAGATTCTTGTAGCGAGTGTTGCGTAGCAAGTGCTGAATTTCCAACTCATGTTTCTTGCGTATTTGTTGTAATAAACATATATGGGGTTCATAGGTTTTCTGAATTTGTTTGACCATTATCTTTCATAAAGTTAGCCACTAATCAACTGTTTTACGTTCTGCACATATACAGTGTAGGAAAAAGGTTATGGTCGGTATGGACCTTACGTGAGATGGAGTGAGAAACAGCTGTTTAGAAAGAGAGAGGTATATTAGATCCGCCCTTTATATCGCCAAACATGCATGCGTGGAAATAATAAAAAAGGGGAAGTTCAACGTTGCCAAACTTATTGGTTTTATTTGACCTGTTGTTTTTTTTTGCATTTGAACAATGTTCTAAGATAATCAAATTGGGCGAAATTGATTTAAATGGCAGCTTACTGTTTTTTTATTGGGAATATGCCACAAGTTTACAATAAGTGTAATATAACATTTTGATTTCCACTTCGGAAATCGTTTTATATAAATAAAATTTATTAATGTTTCGTATTTTAAGTACGATTTCCGAATTAAAAATCTAAACATCAAAATAAGCTTATTTTAAAGTCACATTGTGCCTTATTCCCAATATAAAATAATAAACTGCATACAATAACGCCACATTAAAAAATATTCATACACAATAATTATTTGGCAATGTCCGTCTGGTCAAAACACCGCGTAACGCGCAGTAGAGGTGGGTCGTGGTAGTTTTATCGTTAAGCGCGTAGGCACAAAATTTCGGGCCAATATTTTTAAATGCATTCATTTTTTTCGAATCCTGAGAAAACTAATAAATATTTTTGAAAAATTTAAACGCAGAATGAAACAATACATTATTACCGAGGGCCGAAAGTCCCTGAAAACTTCTATAATGTTTATTTTAATAAGTTATAGGGGTGAAAAAAAAATTAGTGTGATTTTTAATTTCAAATATCTCATTCAAAAAACTTTTTGTTTATTCTAAGGGACTTTCGGCCCTCGGTAATAATGTAATCTTTTATTCTGCATTTAATTTTTTCAAAAATATTTGTTAGTTTTCTCAGGATTCCAAAAAAAATGAATGCATTTAAAAATTTAAATTTTTGTAAACAAGTAACTATGATTGTTTAAAAGTAGTTTCAAGTAAGAGAGTACCTACATAATCAAACATAATGGCTATTATCGTTTATGTGTATATTTATTGAAGTGAAAGAAACTAATGATATATTTATTATGACTTAAAAAATAAACTAAACAATGCAAATAGTAAATCGTACTTACATTTACATTACACGTTATTATTAAATCGCGAATAGTCTAAATTGACATTAAAAAAACATAATTTTTTCTAATTTACTTCTTATTAACCGTCTTCTTTTTTTATTTCAAATTAAACCAGATTTTGAACATGTGTTCACATTTACAATACTTTATGAATATAGTGGTTAAGTTAGGATATACATGGCGATGGTTTTTCCACCGTTGTAATGGACTCTTGATACAGGTGTACGTGTAGATGAGCCATCTCCAATTAATTGATCAAAAATACACCATGGATTTAAGTCATCTTTATTGGTTTCTTTTTCTTGTACTGGTTGATTTTCAATAGTACAATCTTCTTGTTCGTTAATTATAGAAGTAACCAGCTTCTTAACTTTTTCTTTTATTTTTTATCTTCATTTTTATCAGAAAAACCCTGCACTTTAAATGGTGAATCCATAAATGTACATAATGAGAATGTGCCACTCTGTTCTATACCTTTAAATCTTTTTGCTAAACCCGATATTAGTAATTGTACTACGTCGGATACTATGGATGTAAGGTTACCGTTTGCTAAAATTTTATTGCAAGACTCTTGCAGTCAGCGTACCATAACAATCACTGAACTACCCTTCAAGTATTTTTGGTCACTCATTGTACTTCTTATTTCTTTAAACGGCCATAAAATTTGGGAAAGATGAGAACAAATAATCCAGTGTTCTTTATTTAGATTTGGTCTAAGTCTGTATTATTTAATACCGATGTGGAACGGATTGCCTCTTCTAACTCGGTCATTCTTTTTAACATGTAATAGGTGAAGTTCTACCTAGTTTCCACGTCTTGGATTGGCCGTTTGGGAACTTTGTTATGTTGTAATTAATACTTTAAAAGCCTTTCTGAAGATAAGGTACTTTTTTTTTAATGTGTTTTTTGCAGAATTGTCGAAAAAAGGACGTTTTATTTTATCTATTATCAAATCAGTTTTGACATAAGATTCCTGAAGTAATGAACCTGGCAGTTTTTCTTGTTGGCGGTTTATATCCAGGAATCCACCTGCAAACTTTTTAAAAGCTGGCCTCACCTATGGAAAACGGATGAAACGAGTATTTGCATAAGTTTAGTAAATCTTGAAAATCAACCAGTACAAGAAAAAGAAACTGATAAAGATGACTTAAGTCCATGGTGTATTTTTGATGAATTAATTGGACATGACTCATCTAAACATACACCTGTATCGAGTGATATAAAAGAAGTCTACATGTATTTGTCTGATGATATATTACCCACAAAAAATTTTGAACGGAGATTGGAACTGTCCATTACCGTGGTGGAAAAACCATCGCCATGTATATCCTAACTTAACCACTATATTTATAAAATATTGTAGTATTGTAACAAAATCTTTTCCTTGTGAACACATGTTTAAAATCTGGTTTAATTTTAAATAAAAGAAGACACGGGTAACAAGAAAAGTGGAAAAACTTATGTTTAAATGTCAATTTAGACGATTCGCGATTTAATAATGTGTAATGTAAATGTAAGTACTATTTGTATTGTTTAATTTATTTTTCAAGTTATAATAAATATATCCTTCGTTAGGTTCTTTCACTTCAATACTTACACATAAACGATAATAGCAAATATGTTTGTGTACTCGCTAATTTGAATACTGATAAACAATCAACTAGTTACAGTTTACGAAAAACGCTTCCGATAAAAATTTAAAAAACGAGAGGACTCACCTCTACATTTTTAGGTATATTAGGATCGGAACCAGAGAATATGTAAAATATCTCTGATCGGAACTATTCGTCTCACTAATAGGCAATGAGTGTTAAAAATATTTGTGGAGGGGAGACCAAGGGAAAATATGATTGTTATCTTTGTCTATTCGCTGAAATTTTATATCTGCGTTAGATATCCTGTTAAATTTTTCCATACCGACCATAAACTTTTACCTACACTGTATATGCTTTATCTTTATTAGGATTGAATTTATTGCAAACATTTATAAGATTTCTAATAACATATTACTTGTCACTACTCCTATCACGTGTGAAAAAGATCCGACGAGTTGATTATTTTCTAAGAACGATATTTTGGTGTGTCTCAATGTTTATATATTGTTAATGATGATTTGTATATTGCTAATGGAACCATTAATATCTTTAAGGACCTGGCAAGGAGGATAGCTAAAGTTAGCAACGAATCCAAACTCCCCCTCGACGAAGACTCGTACGTCGAGCGATACAAGCCGTTCCTTATGGACGTATGCTACAATTGGTGCACCGGTAGCAGCTTCAAGACTATCTGCGAACAAACGGACATCTTCGAAGGTTCGATAGTCCGGTGCATGCGTAGACTCGAAGAACTCCTGAGGCAGATGGTGCAAGCCTCGAAAACTATAGGTAATTCGGAACTGGAAGACAAATTTAATGCAGCCATAAAACTTATAAAAAGAGATATAGTGTTTTCGTCTAGTTTGTACTTATAAAATTAATTTTTTTAATAAAAATATTGTAAGTAACTTTTTTTCGTCGTTTTGATTTGTGATTTTGATTTTGTACCTGCCACGACTGTGTCCCTCCGAATTCTCATTGTTCATATATTGTTCGTAGACACTTTGGGATACCCCGTATATAGGTAAGAAACTTTTGCGCTTAAAAGAGTAGCTTACCGTGCAGATCTCAGCGTTTGTGCTAAGGAGTACCAAAATTAATGAGAATTCACAGCCACAGTAATTAAACAAAAATACTTAGAGGTTGAGAATATTCAGAAGGAAGCTGATTGTATGCATTCCATTCTGCATAATGAAATCAATGACCCAGCCGACTATATTCCCGTGTGCCTCGAAGCCAGAAAATTGCAACTTCATAATGTTAAGTATCTTCACCATAATTTCTTCAAATGTTTTGATAAGCATTTATTTTATAAATGGCTTCGGCCCGGAAAGAGAGTTGGTTCATCGTCTGTTGTGAATGTAAAAGCATTAAGATATCTCCCAGAGGGTAAAATCCAATTCAAACTAAACTTTTCTGATGATTGGAAAGATCTTCACCAAAGGTAAGATGTTTCTCATACGCTCGTTAAGAATCTTATAAATCTTTATAATGGAAGACTGAAGATTAAGAAAAGGAAGTTTCATTGCATAAAGACAAGGTAGAAAAACTATCTTTCCAACAAACTTATAGTAAATACTCTTAACTCCAAATATTTATTTATTAAGTCTCGAAATAATCATCTATTTAGTTAAACAGGTTTAAAATTGAGTTTTTAGCGACAATATTAGATTTGTATTTATCAAAATTATTTTTTTGACAATAGGTTTTAAACAATACTGGCTTCTGTAAAGTTTTCATTCCGGAGGTTCAAAGAATGAAAATTGCAATGACGATATATAGACAGCTTCTTCTTATGGTGGTTTATCGCAGGTAAACCACCTGCGATAAACCTGGTAGTTATTACCATTTTCGCAGGTTATGCAGCCAGAATATTGTTCTCCGCCCTGGACCTCTTTTTCCATGCACTTTACCTTGAAGTATGGTCCGAAGTAGGTCATATCGTTGTTCATTGCGCATTATATGGCCCAGGTATTCTAGTTTGCGACGTTTTATAGTTACGACTAGTTCGCGCCCTTTACCCATTCTATGTAGTACTTCTTCGTTGGTAACTCTGTCTATCCCGGAAATCCTCAACATGCGTATATAGCACCACATCTCAAATGCTTCTAGTCTCTTTAGTGATGCTTCAGTTAAGATCCATGACTAAACGCCATATAAAAGAACGAAAATAAGTAGAATTTTAGTAAACGAACTTTTATTTCCAATTTTATGTCGTGGTTGCTCAAGATTTTTTTCATTTTGACGAAAGCTGATCTTGCCTTATCGATCCTTATCTTAATTTCCGTCGATTGGTCCCACTGTTAATTTAAGTTTGCACAAATTTAACAAAAGGTGGTGATTTGTGTTAGTAATTGACCAGGTGGTGTCCTATTTTTGCTTATAACCTTGTATTTGGTTTTTTGATGTTAAAATCAAGCCCAAACCTGCTACTTACTTCTGCCACCCTGGAGACAAGTATCTGCAGACCTTCAAGACTGTCTGCAAAAATGACAGTATCATCAGCGTATCTTATGTTGTTCAATCGTTCTCCGTACTATTCCCTGGTCTATGTCCGTTAGCGCTAAGTTCATAATGTGCTCTGAATATATGTTGAACAATAATGGGGAACAATATACATCCCTGTCGTACACCTCTTTTTGTCTTTATATCGTAGGTTAAATGATGCCCAACTCTAACAGTTGCAGTTTGTTCGTAATAAATATTGTTTATTATACGGCGATCTCTACTGTTTAGACCAATTGAATGTAATATTTTCATCAGTTCGTCATGTTTTATCCTATCGAACGCTTTCTGGTAATCAACAAAACACACACATATATATATATATATATATATATATATATATATATATATATATATATATATATATATATATATATATATATATATATATATCACAATTCACGTCTCTACATCTTTGAAAGAGAACTTGTATTGCAAAAAGTGCCTCTCGAGTACCCAATGCATCCCTGAAGCCGAATTGTGGGTTTGTCATGTGTCTTCACACTTTTTATATATTCTTTTATGTATAATTTTTAAAAAAGTTTTCAGGAGATGGCTCATAGGGCTTATTATTCGATAATCTTCACTTTTTTGTCATTGGGTTTTTTAGGGATTGTTATAAAAGTTGATCTTAGCCACTGTTGGGGTATTTTATATAGAGAGCACTGGAAAAAACTAAGTGATCAGTGGTCTTTAATGAGAATGATCAATATAGAGATTGGTGGATACCATTTCTTAGAAAGCACACTTACTGCTGCACCATATCACAATAGGTGATAGGTAATTTATTCATAAATCTATTGGTACATAATAACTATGGATTATTATTATACCAGGTGTGCCTAAAGAAATTTGCATCGGATCGAAAATCTAAAAAACATGTTTACGTGTTTAATATTTTTCAAAAATCTATCGCATGCCTCCTAATAGAATCCTACATCCACCTTCTAGTGCGGGGCGGGAAACAACTTTAAAATCTTAATGGGAACCTTATTTTTGTATGCCTTGTAAAAAAATAAGAATTTTTAATTCGGGACATTTTTTCGAATATTTGATAGATAGTGCTATAATCGGACAAATATAATTTATTCTGATACCCTAGGAAAAATATGGAAACTGTCTAATATTTCGAAAAATACAATTTCAAAAGACAAACACCAAAACCCACTTTTTAATATTTTTCAAAAATCTATTGAATGATAATAAACACGAAGACACCCCACTTCCTGTGGGATGGGGAAGAGGCAACTTTGAAAACTCCCATTTTTTATTGCAGATTCAGATTGTACATGAAAAACTGGATTCAGTGTCATAAATTTATGTTGACTGTTGAAATACTTTCACGTCCTAGAAAGAATTTTTTTGCAGTTAGAGCGCCATATATCGGTTTACTGTCATATCATCAGAGAGTCTTTTCAAAAAAACTAATTTTGTGTTCGGATGCATATTTATGTCCCGAGAAATTTGATGTTTACAGACTTATGAATTTATATTTGCTTTTCTGTGATTGCAGCGCTATCTATCACAAATCGAAAAAATCTGATAACTTTTTTAAATTTCATACGTAGAAATTTAAAATTTCAAAGTTACCTTCGGCCCCATTCCTGGGGAGAAGGGGTTATGTTTGCTATCATTCAATAGATTTTTGAAAAATATTGGAAATGTGTTTTTAGTTTTTCGATCTGTAAATTTCGCAGAATATTCGTGATAATTATCTTATCGATGATGGTCTAACAACACACGACCAAAGAAACGATTAAATATCTTATGAGTTTTTGATGACAGAATAAGAAGGGACATTCTTCAAACTAGATATATTGAGAACGGCGTTGGTAGCTGTGTAAAAATTTTGCACACATTTTTTTCCTCCTAAAATAATTCTCCTAAAAACAGGCATTAACTTTCCTCGTTAAACAAAAACAAATTTGGTTAAATTTATGCTAAATTATAATACCTGAAGAGGCTTATTTTATTTATAATTATAATATATGTTTTATTTATAATTATATAGTAGTAAAAAACGTATACAGTTAGCATTACCGCAAACTGATGATGAATTACGATATAAATTCACTGATTTTTTTTTTGGTTCTTAGTCGATATTTTAATACTTACAATGGAAAATGCACAACCTGAATCAACTGCTAGTGAGACCATATTTCTTTGCTATACCATTTTTCAAAGTAAAAAAGTTACACGTCACAAATTATATAAAGTGGCGTCACTTATATTTAAAATTTCCAGAGCGTCAACCTTAGAGTTCAAATTTTCCTAACACAGCTAATAATACGAAACTGCTCGATCTTTCATAGGCATCAACATGGTATAATAATCAGAAAAATGAAATCATTATATTGGGAATTTTAGAATTATATTGATTAACTAACCACAAACATTTGTTATTATTAATAATATAAATTTTATGAAATAACTCCTTAAGTCTAATATTCCATAAAATAATAATTTTAATTTAATAAATTAAACAATTGTACGCAACTGATACGGGAATACTTCAAATTTGGATGACAGTTCAGCGTGTGGTAAAATTGTTTAAAGTGTTGCCGATTTTTAGAGGAAGAATTTTGTTTCTGATCATAATATATTATATATTAATAAATTGTATTTATAAATACATATTAAATTTAGATTAATAGCTTTAAAAACTAATTATTGTTGTGTATTGTGATTGTGCTATGTTAAAACAATTAAATAGTCTGTAGAAAGCTGATAAGCTTTCATATTTAAGATATATTATTTTGAACGAGGAATAATGGGAACTTTTTACTATTAATGCTCTAAAATAGGTAAGTTTAAAATTTAGAATATAAGTTTGTATTAAAATTTTTTTTGATGTATTCTAGTTTGTTGCAGTAGTAGCCCAGGGAAATAAGCATTTTTTCATGACACTCGTCCGGCCAGGCAGACGACAGTTGTTTGGAGTAGTATGGACCTCTGTAACAAAAACCTATATGTTTCCTGCAGTCGATTTTTTGGACTTAATTAGTTATTGACAAATTAAGGTCAAAAAACGGAAAATTTTTGCTTTTTTCGTCTATCAGCAAAAAGTGAAGCAATTTAAACAAATTTTAGAAGAGAGGAAACTTATAAGTTATATAAAAACCTTCAAAATGGCGTCTTCAAAATGTTTTTATCCTTATTTGTTGCTTAGAAAGTTGCAAAATAAGTCAAAAATTTTGGTTTTTTATAAATGTTAATAACTTTTTTGAAAATAAACTTATAATATTTATATTTCAAGGAATGATGTGTCTTGTAGTGCTTAAAATAGGGTTAAAATTTCAAAATGATCGGTCCAATAGTTTAAAAGTTATTTTATTTGTTTATCCCAAATTAACATTTTTTGCAACAATATAAGTCAGAAATTTATACAGTTTTAGAAATTGTAAGGGT